AATACTCTCAGAAAACTAGGAACTTCCTTAACCTGATTATAGGGCATCTACAAAAACCCTATAACTAATACAAAACTTAATGGTGAATGACTGAATGTATTCTCCTTATGATCAGGTACATGTCCACTCTCACCATTCCTATTCAAAATTGTAATGGAGGTTCTAGACAGTTCAATAAAGCAAGAAAAGGGCCGGCCCCGTGGCTTGGTGGTTAAGTGAGCGCGCTCCACTGCTGGCGACCCGGGTTCGGATCCCGGGCTCGCACCGACGTGCCGCTTCTCCGGCCATGCTGAGGCCGAGTCCCACATACAGCAACTAGAAGGATGTGCAGCTGTGACACACAACTATCTACTGGGGCTTTGGGGGGAAAAAATAAATAAATAAAATCTTTAAAAAAAAAAAATAAATAAATAAATAAAGCAAGAAAAAGAAATAAAAGACATACAGACTAGAAAGAAATAAAACTGTTTTTACGCCCTGATGACAAAATTGCTTATGTAGAAAATCCCAAGGAATCTACAAAAAAGCTAATAGATTTAATAAGTCAGTTTAGCAACATTAGGACACAAAGTCAACATACAAAAACCAATTGCATTTCTATATGGTTGTAATGAACAACTGAAATTGAAATTTAAAAAATAGTACCATTTAAACATCTTTCAAAAACAAAATATTTAAACTTAAATCTAACAAAATATACCCAGGATCTGCATGCTGAAAACTATTTGTTGTTGTTAGTGCCATCTAGTCAATTCCGACTCCTAGCAACCCTGTGTACAGCAGAGCAGAACCCTAGCAAGTCTTTTTGTGGCATCCTCTCTCCTTCCAGTACTATATCAGACAATGCTCCACTGCTATTCATAGGGTTTTCATGGCGAACTTTCGTGAAAGTGGGTGGCCAGGTCCTTCTTCCTAGTCTGTCTTAGTCTGGAAGCTCTGCTGAAACCTGTCCACCAAGGGTGACCCTGCTGGTATTTGAAATACCAGTGCATAACTTTCAGCATCACAGCAACAGGCAGCCGCCACAGTATGACAACCGACAGTGAGTGGTGTGGTTCTCTGATCGGAAACGAACCAAGGAAGTGGCAGTGAGCGCCAAATCTTAACCACTAGACCACAAGGGCTGGCTGCTGAAAACTATAGATCCCTGATCAAAGAAATCAAGGAATACCTAAATAAATGGAGAGATATATCACATGTACAGATTGGAAAACCAAATATTATTAAGATATTAATTCTATCCAAATGGATCTACAGAATCAACACAATCTCAGTCAAAATCCCACCAGATATATTTGTAGAAACTTATAAACTGATTCTAAAATTTATATGGAAAAGGAAAGGAACTAGAATAGCCAAAACAATTTTGAAAAAGAACAAAGTTAAGGAATCACACTATCTGATTTTAAGATTTATTATAAAGCTACAATAATCAAGACTGTATGGTATTTATTGGCCAAAGGACAGACACACAGACAGATCAATGGAATAGAACAGAACATACGGAAATATATCCATAATATATATCGTCAATTGATTTTCAACAAGGTGCAAAGGCAATTCAATGGAGAAAAAATAGGCACTTCAACAAATGGTGCTGCTTGGAAAAACTGGACATCCATATAAGAAAAATTAACTTCAACTCATATATAACAATGTAAACACATTAATTCAAAATGGATCATAGACCTAAATGTAAAACCTAAAGTGATAAAACTTTTACAAGAAGACATAGGAGAAAAATCTTTGTGAACTTGGGTGAGGCCAAGATTTCCTAGATATGACACCAAAAACATGATCGATAAAGGAAAAAAGTGGATAAATTGGAATTCATCAAAAGCAAAAGCTTCCACCCTGGGAAAGACACTTTTTTTGTGTGTGTGAGGAAGATCAGCCCTGTGCCAACATCTGCCAATCCTCCTCTTTTTGCTGAGGAAGAATGGCCCTGGGCTAACATCCGTGCCCATCTTCCTCCACTTTATATGGGACGCCGCCACAGCATGGCTTGCTAAGCAGTGTGTCAGTGTGCGCCCAGGATCCGAACCGGCGAACCCTGGGCCACTGCAGTGGAGCACGTGCACTTAACCACTTGCGCCACCGGGCCGGCCCCGAAAAGACACTTTGAAGAGAAAAGACAGGCCACAGACTGGAAAAAATACTTACAAAATGCATATCTAAGACAAAACTTATATTCGGAATACATAAAGAACAATCAAAACTGAATAATAAGAAAACAAAAAACCCAGCTAAAAATTTGACAAAACGTTTGACAGACATTTCACCAAAGGAGGTATACAAATGCCTAACAAGCACATGAGAAGATGCTCAACATCATTAGCCATTAAGGAAATGAGAATTAGTTAGATACCACTATACACCCACTAGAATGTCTATAACTAAAAAGACTGATAATACAAAGTGTTGAAGAGAATGTGGAAAAACTGGAATTCTCAAACATTTTGCTGGTGGAAAAATAAAATAGTACAGCCACTGTGGTAAATCATTTGCGAGTGTCTCAAAAAGTTAAACATACACTTACCACATGATGGAACAAATTCAATCCTAGGAATCTGCCCAAGAGAAATTAAAACATATGTCCACACCAAGACTTGTATGTGAACATTCAGAGTACTGTTTTTCATAATCACAAAAAAAGTGGAAATAATCCAAATCTCTCAACGAGCAAATGGGTAAACAAACTGTGGTACATCCACACAATGGAATACTCCTCAGCAATAAAAAAGGAAAGAACCAGTAATACATGCAATGACATGGGTGGATCTCAAATGCATAACGCCAAGTGAAGGAAGTCAGACTCAAAAGGCTATATACTGTATGATTCCATTTATATGGCAGTTTTTAAAAAAGTAAAACTTACAGGGACAAAAATAAGTCCGTGGTTATAAGGGGCTAAAATTAACGGGGAAAGATGACTTCAAGGTAGGGTTACCAGATTTAGCAAATAAAAATACAGGACACCCAGTTAAATTTAAATTTCACTGGGTTTTAAATTTAAACTCTCAGGGTGGGGCCCAGCAATTTATGTTTTAACAAGCCCTCCAGGTGATTCTCATGCTGTGGTTTGAGAACCACCACTCACTATACCTGTAACTGGCAAAAAGAACCATAAGAAGCTAACATGAAGAGCAAGGGGCAAGTGAGCCTGTTCGATAAATCAATTCACCATCATCAAAGATTAACTGAACAGCCAAAGTGTGTATGGTAGGTTCTTTGAGAAGAGACTCAACTGGGGGCAGTTTTTCCCCCAGGGCACATTTGGCAATGTTTGGAAACGTTTTTGGTTGTCACGAGTGGGAGGGGAGGCTACTGGCATCTGGTAGGTAGAGGCCAGGGATGCTGCTAAACATCCTACAAGGCACAGAACAGCCCTCCACAACAAAGAATTATCCAGTCCAAAATGTGAACAGTGCCGAGATTGAGAAACCTGGACTATAGTATAAAGATTAATCAAAACATTTTTTTTTACTCCAAAGACTTTAAAATCAAACACATTTTTATGAACGTAGAAATAAAAAGATTAAAAAGAAAATGACAAAACATAATTCAAGGTTTCTCATACTAAAAATACTAGAATTATTCTGAGGAGAATTTATAGACTAGTGATACAGAGCTAAAACAGCAATTTGGTGGTAAGAGGCACCTTTATGATTAAATACTAGGCTGCTTTTTTCAGAAGTTATGTGAGAGAATAAATTGGAGATGCCAAGTTTGAGAACCATATGCAAATTAAAATGCATCTGTAGACAATGTATGACCAGAAAACACACTGGCCCAGGAATCATGGAACTTGAGTTCTAGTTTTGCTTTGGTATTAGGTAGCTGTGTAATTTAGCACAAGTCACTTCATTATGTGGGCTTCAGTCTGCTGATCTGTAAAATGAAGGGGTTAGACTATTTCAGTCATATCTAAGACCCCTTGCAGCTTTAACATACTATCCCTATGTCAAAAAATGAGTACAGGAAACATTCAAATATATTTTTTACAGGATATGAGGGGGAATGGTATCATTATGTTCCCTTTGGGGTAGTCTTGTGTTGACTTTGGTACTTTTGGTTCTTGTTTAGAAGGTGCTAAACAATGCTGCTTAGATTTTCTTATTTATTTATAATAATTATATTAATAATTCATGTTCATTGCAGAAAAATTAGAATATACAGATAAACTACTCTTTTTTACTAAGTAAGATTCTGAGACAAATTATAGCAAAAATATGTTAAGATGGTCTAACAAAAGTCAATTTTATTTTTGCAATTAAAAATTGAAGTGAGGGGCCAGCCTGGTGGTGCAGCAGTTAAGTGCGCGTGCTCCACTTCAGTGGCCCAGGGTTCACAGGTTCGGATCCTGGGTGCACACCAATGCACCACTTGTCAAGCCATGCTGTGGCAGCATCCCATATAAAGTAGAGGAAGATGGACACAGATGTTAGCCCAGGGCCAATCTTCCTCAGCAAAAAGTGGAGGATTGGCATCGGATGTTAGCTCAGGGCTAATCTTCCTCACAAAAAAAAAAAAATGAAGTGAAAATGTTTAGAAAATTACTGTTACACCTTGTATGCATGTGCTTAAGGAGGACTACATTATTATTTACCATAATAATTGTCATGCTAAAAAAAGAGAAAGAAACCCCACAACCCTTTCTCTAAGAACATATACTTTAGTTCAGTATGAGGTTAAGAGTAATAAAGAGTATATCAGCATCTATATGCTTATAAAATATAAATCTATAAATATATAGCCATAATAATGTCAAGAGTCCTTCAGATGTTTTTAAATTGAAAAAAAATATAATTTCTTATTTTTTTATAAAAAGAGAACTTAATGGGCCAAAAAAAAGTTATTTCGCTTCAGGGTTAGAAGTATGATAGTCTTTATTGACAAGTGTGTCGGTGTGTCTGCTTCTCTTTTGGTGTTAGAAGTAATTTCCTAGAAGAATTCCAAACAACAGCATTTGACTTCACTATTTCCAAAGAGTAACTTACTTTAATGTGATGTACACCATTCAGTTTTCCAATCTGCTGCTCAATGGTCCAAACACAGGAACTACATGTCATCCCTTCAACAGAGATGGTGATAGAATTCACACCCACACTTGGATCCATTTTGATTTCTTTACATTCCTATTAGAAACAATGAACTCATTAATTTCTGCCGTGGAAATAATTCTTCCTCAACTTTCTCCCCACCTCCCCAATTGAAAATATACTACTAATAAAATATGGTCAGCATTCTTTTCTCTCACCTCATTCTCCCACCTCAGGGCCTTTGCTTGAGCTATTCCATTGGTTTGGGACTTCCTTCTTCCAGATATTTGCTTAGCTAATGTCTTCATCTCTTTCAAGGCATTACTCAAATCTAACCTTCTTAATGTGTCTTACACTGACCACCCTGTTTAAAATTGCAACCCACATCCCTTCCACACACACACACTCTGATTCCCCTTACTTCCGCTCTATTTTTTTTTCTTTTCTTCATAGAACTTAGCACCTTCTAATATACTCCATAATTTACTTATTATATTTATCCCTTATTATCTGTCTTCCTGCGGTGATTTTAAAATATATTCCCAAATTCTTCATTACTCCTTCCTTCAAGAGGTGTAACTGAACTCCTTTCCCCTTGAGCGTGGCCTGGACTCAGTGACTGGCTTCCAACAAATATAATACGGTAGAAGCAACAAGGTGTGACTTCCAAGATTAGGTCATAAAAGGCACTGTGGGAAAGGGAAAAAAAAGTCATTGTGGCTTCCTTCTTTTCCTCTCTCTTAAGTGACCCAATCTGCAGGAAGCCACCTGCCATGTCATGAGGACATTCAAGCAGCCTTATGGAGAGATTCATGTGGCGAGAAATCGAGGCCTCCTGTCAACAACCAGCAAAGACCTGAAGCCTCCTGCCAACAGTCAGGTGAGTGAACCGTCTCGGAAGCTGATCCTTCAGACTCAGGTAAGCCTCTAGACGCCTGCAGCCCCAGCCAACATATTGACTACAACCTCATGAGACCTTGAGCCTGAACCACTTCCAAATTCATGACCCACAGAAACTGTGAAATAATAAATGTTTTAAGCCACTAAATTTTAGAATAATTTGTTACACTGCAATAATTAACTAATATACTTCCTACCAGAATGAAAATTCCATGAAGGCAAGAATCTGTTTTTTCACTGATATTAGTTTGAACCAAATGAAGTTGCCATTGTTGCATATCAAAATAGTTGAATAGGGCCGGCCCTGTGGCTTAGCGGTTAAGTGCGTGTGCTCCGCTGCTGGCAGCCCGGGTTCGGATCCTGGGCCCGCACCGACGCACTGCTTCTCCAGCCATGCTGGGGTCGCGTCCCACATACAGCAACTAGAAGGATGTGCAGCTATGACATACAACTATCTGCTGGGGCTTTTGGGGGAAAAATAAATAAATAAAATTAAAAAAAAATAGTTGAATATTGGTAATTTCATGTATATCAACCTAATATATCCCATGGAACAGGGTGAGGAGAACTGAGTGGTTAGGGGATAAGGGTGGGAAAAAGAATTTTCGGTGTATAACCTGTTGTACCTTTTTTAAATCGAGATATAACTGACATAAAACATTGTGTAAGTCTAAGGTGTACAGTGTGTTGGTTTGATACATTTATATATTGTAATACGATTACCACTCTTTTCTAACATCTCTATCACATCACTTAATTATCATTTCTTTTTTGTGGTGAGAACAATTAAGATCTAGTCCCTTTTGGATCTTGTGAATTTTGTACCATGAGAATGTATTATCTACTCAAACAAAGACACAGACACGTCTGCACACACAAAAGCACGGTGGACCTAAAATACTAGAACACAATAATATGGATGGGAGTTTGTAGTTGAGGCATTCTAAGTTCCTTGGTCTTGTTTGGAATGTATACAGAGAAAGAGATAAACCTTAGATTTTGTTAAGAATAACATGTTAAAAATTTAACGGTAACTGGTAGGAGACTAGAAATAGAATATATAGCTTCCAAAAGAGTAGAGGGGAAAAGGGGAACAAAGAAAATTACATTAAATCAATTATAAGAAAAGAAACAACAACTAAGAACATATTTCTATAAAACTCTTTTGTTTAGAAGCTAGTGTGAAATGATTATGATAAAAGCAGCACCAGAATCAGGCTTAAGAAATTATTCAGGAAAAAATAAAGAGACTTCCCAATGCATATCTAAAGGCTTCTCTTAGGGCCGGCCCGTGGCTTAGCGGTTAAGGGCGCGCGCTCCGCTGCTGGCAGCCCCGGTTCGGATCCCGGGCGCACACTGACGCACCACTTCTCCGGCCATGCTGAGGCCGCCTCCCACATACAGCAACTAGAGGGATGTGCAGCTATGACATACAACTATCTACTGGGGCCTTGAGGGGAAAAATAAATAAATAAAATCTTTAAAAAAAAAAAATAAAAAAATAATAAAGGCTTCTCTTAGAGCACTGACGGGGAGGGGGAAATTTCCCCCCCCATCCCTCTTGAGTTCTTTTGGCTGGTCTAATAACTAAATTGACACATGACATTAACAGGAAAGTTTTTTTTTTAATTTGTACATATGCAGGTCTCATAGAAATGGGACCTAAGAAGTGACCAAAGAAGGCTGTTTATATACCTTTTTAGACAAAGAAACAATTATTTGTGAAGATTTGATAAAACAAAGGATTTCTTTTTTTTTTTTTTTAAGATTTATTTATTTTTCCCCCAAAGCCCCAGTAGATAGTTGTATGTCATAACTGCACATCCCTCTAGTTGCTGTATGTGGGAGGCGGCCTCAGCATGGCCGGAGAAATGGTGCGTCGGTGTGCACCCGGGATCCGAACCTGGGCTGCCAGCAGCGGAGCGCGCGCACTTAACCGCTAAGCCACGGGCCGGCCCCGAAAACAAAGGATTTCTGCTTGGGGTAGCAAATTAATGAAGCAGTAACAAAGTTTGTTTATACAGCTTCCTCTGCCCAGAATTCCCTATCTCCAATGATAAGGATGCTCTCCAGCCTCCCAGCATAGGGAGGATACCTTCCCAAGGGAGTTTCGTTTCCTGTTTCCAGGGGAACAAAGGAAGGTCAGGGTGTTCTTCTTGCACCGGCTTTTTTTCAAGTAACTTTAATTCAAAATAATAAAAATGCCACTTTGGCATATTTTGGGGCAGCCTGCCCTGAGACCCATCAGCACCGTAGATTATTTGTGTTTAGGTACATTAGAGGGCATTAAGTAGAATATTTTTATTTCTGTAAGAAAAATTATATTTGGAAGAATATATTAGCTCAGTGCAAAGAACTTGCATTTATCTTACAAAGATTGCAAATTATATATAAAATATCAAGTTTTGAAAAAAATATATATATATTTTGTGTGTGTGAGGAAGATCAGCCCTGAGCTAACATCCATGCCAATCCTCTTCTTTTTGCTGAGGAAGACCAGCCCTGAGCTAATATCTATTGCCAATCCTCCTCCTTTTTTCCCCTTTTTTTCCCCAAAGCCCCAGTAGATAGTTGTACGTCATAGCTGCACATCCTTCTAGTTGCTGTGTGTGGGACGCGGCCTCAGCATGGCCGGAGAAGCGGTGCATCGGTGCACGCCCGGGATCCGAACCCGGGCCGCCAGTAGTGGGGCGCGAGCACTTAACCGACAAGCCACGGGGCCGGCCGGAAAAATATCAAGTTTTGTATAAGAAGAAGAGCAATACTGAGGTAAAAGTAAAACTGTCACCCAAACCAGTGATGAGGGAAAGGAAGAAGAGCAGGAAATAATCAATTATGAAGATACTATCACCTAGAATTGAAGTAGAAATAAAAATACAAGTCTTAGGTCCAATAACACTTATCCAATTCATTAGGAGGTTCCCTTACCCTTGGATAAAGATCCTGTTGTGTGACCATAATCAAAAATCAAAGATATCAAAATGTTTCTTTAACACTCATTTGTCAAAATTCACAATGGCCAAATACAGAACTCAAAAGCAGGTTTAAAAATATCATGATTTACATTGACTCCATTTTCCCCCAAAAGTCACTTCTTTTTAAAACGCTAAACTACAAAATGGAATTTTTTAAAAAATCAACATACTATGTAAAAATATCTCTAGAAGTCTAGAGATATTCTCACAAAAAAATTGGTAACGTGAGTTACCTCCTGGGAGAGAAAGAGGGTGGTGGGGCTGAGGGTTGAGGCAGGGAGGAAACTTTTGCATTTTGAATTATGTGAATATAAAACCAATTCAAAATAAATAAAATTTACAGAAAAAACTATGTAAACTAAAATATTTCTTTGCAATTAATTTATTCCAAATGATATAGAAACGATTACTACATCATCTTAGCTTTGCTAAGCTCAGAGAAACAAACAGAAACTCCTGCTGAACCACACCCTCCGCTCCTAACAAAGCAAGATGATTAGTAGACTCTTCTCACTTCTTCAACTGGTTTCTGTGGAGCTTTGAACAACCAGACCACCAATATAATTTCTAAATATCTAAAACCACAGAAGTTTCTTGGAGATAATTTATTTTCAAATGTTAATTGGTTTTCATCATACATTTTTTCATTATATGTATTCTTTTTTTGAGATATAATTTACACACTATAAAATTCACCCTTATAAGGTGTACAATTCAGTTGTTTTTAGTAATATTCACAAGGATGTGTAACCATAATGACTATGCAATTGCAGAACATTTTCATTACCCCCAAAAGAAGCCCCACACCCATCAGCAGTCACTCCCCAGTCCCCTCTGCTCATAGCCCCTGGCAAACATGAATCTACTTTCTCTCTCTCTGGATTTGCCTATACTGGTCATTTCATAAAAACGGATTCATTCAATATGTGGTTTTGTGTGTGGAATTCTTTCACTTAGCATAATATTTTCAAGGTTTAACAATGTGTGGAATGTATCTGTACTTCATTGTTTTCACTTGCTTGATGGCATCCATTGAAGCACAAAAACTTTTCATTTTTATGAAGTCCAATTTATCTATTTTTTTCTTTTGTTGCTTGTGTTTTGGGTGTCATATCTAAGAAACCATTGACATATCGAAAGCCATAACAGAAGATTTACTTCAATGTTTTCTTCTAAAAAGAGTTTGGTAGTTTCAGCTCTTACATTTAGGTCTTTAAATCC